TTAGTTTTTTGTTTACTGAGCAAAGTATTAAGTTTAGGGGTGTCTGATGAGTGTATTTAACTCATACTTTAAACACCATCTAAACTTGATATTTAGATAATTTCTATGAGCTTTGGAGCATTTTAATGTATTTTGATGTTGTGATATATGTTGATGAAAATGAAGGAAATAAGCGAAAGTTAGCAAAATTGGAGAAAATGGCTAAATTGTAAAAGATCCAAGGTATGGAAACTAAAGAGATGAAATATAATAAAAGTATGATCACACATCAATTTCCAACGACAAAAAAGTTATTTGTTGGATTTTCAACCTCATATTGAGACTCATTTTTGGCATAGAAAACGTTCAAATTGGAAAAAGGCTATATCTAGTAAAGTTGTAGCCTTTTGAATTAGCTTTCTGACCAACTTTTAATCACCTCAATTGGATATTGAACGAGGAAGTTGTGATAAAAATATCGAAGGACCCGGAAGCTGCTACGAACCAAACGGGTCGGTACTCTGAAGAAATTCTCAGTGTAGTGGCGCCATTGGGCAGTGTGCTCTGTCGCCTATGCGAACAAAGAGAAAGTCAGTTTTTTAAATATTTTCGGCCCCATTGATCTCCAATTCTTTCCAAGACTCTAAAATACTATAAATACAAGATCAAAGACTTATTTTTCCTATAATTAAACCGGACAAGAAGGAGGCGAGAAGCAAGCAATCATTAGGAGATCAAGAAGAAATCAAGAACAACATCACAAATGAGATTGAAGATCTATCAAAACTAGTTATCTATTCTCTTCTCTATATCGTTTATTTAAATTTGATTATTTATATGGCTCCTATCATGAACTAAACATCTGATTTAGGGTTTGACATTGCTAAAACTTGAGAATAAGATTTGATTTGATTTTAGTTATTTCTATGAAATTTTCCTTCCCGTTTATTTGTATTCTTGATTTAATGCTTTCAGTTGGCGAATGATTAGAAGTAGGTTAACTCTGGCACTCGAGATAGGGAAATTTAGGCGCCATCACAACAATACCATAACCTAGGTTTCATAAGTTTCAAGAGAAAGTATAATTCCTTTGAAATTTGTTCCAAACAAGAACTATAAACTTGATATATTTTTTTTAATTTTAATCTGGAATAGAAATATTGGAATTGAATTCTAGGAATAATTTTTATTCTGCTCTTGAAAGAGGGAGTAGAATTATATTAGAGTTTTTACTTATAACATGGAAAAATGATTAGAGATAACTAGATTTTTGAAAATCATATTTGATAGTTCAGTGAAATATAACCCTAGGCTTTCTTATCTTGATTGTGTTCTAACTTTTATTTATTTGTTGAATTCATAACTACATTCATGATGCTAATATAATTAAAACCACTGATTACAAATCTTATTCATCTGGATAAAATAAGAGCTACAAGATTATAATACTTAGTAGAAATTAAATTACAATCCTCATAGGGTTCAACACTCTGATTCCATTATTATATTATAAAATTTAACACCGTACATTTGCGGTATAATATACGTTGTATAAAATGCATGATAGACAGACCCACATGGGTCACGTTGGCACAAGTGACCCCATGAAATTTTTTGATTTTTGATTTTTTTTTTTAAATTTATAGTTGCCCTTTATTGACTGTGCATGTTTATAGACTACAATTTACTCTATTCTTCAATAAACAAAGTACCGCTTCAATCTCAAATAAACCCTCCTCAATCTTCAATTTCAATCTTTATTCCTCTAATTAGGTATGGACTTTTTATGTTTGAAATTTATGTTTAATTCTCTCTTTTTTCCTTTACTTTATTCTTTCATTTTCAATCAAATTCGTTTCTCATCATTGGGATTTGAATTGTAATAGAATTCGGGGCTTGTGTTACCTAGTGTTGAGTGAGAGTAAGTGAAGTAAGTAATCTATAGTTATGTACTACATTGTTGTAAACCGTCCTTGGGATGTCAGGTAAGGCTAGAAGAAGAAGATGTTTGAGCTCAAATTACTGGTCACTGGAGCATTTGGTTTTTGCTCGAGCTTCTGGAAAATGATTGATTTAGATTTAGGAATATTTTGGGCAAGAAAAATCTAACTTCTGTCCTTAGAAAAAAAAAAAAAACTCTTAACTTATTTTCACTATGTTGTTTGTTTATTAAAAAATTACATTTTAATCTTTGACCCACAATACAAAAAGCATGGCTCCGCCCTTGCAATCATCTACACTTTCAAATCACAGAAACAAAAAAAAAATAATAATAATAAAATAAAATCATAAATCTAAATTTTGACAATTTCAAATTCGAGTTTAGTTCTGAAACTAGATATGCAAGATAGCGGTGGCTTAGTGTGGTTTCAACTCCAACACTTATTACTCATTGTGATGGTCGACTGGTGTTTTCCCTCATTTATCTTGTTACATTGAGAAGAACTATGCATTCAATTTTTCAGTAAATCCAAAAAGATTGATTTTTAGTATAAGACTCTCGAAAAATGAAGTATAAATATGTAGTGGTGGTGGTTAGATAGTAATTAGTATCTAATGAATTCAAGGATTCCAATATAAATTAAAAAAAAGAATGACGTGAAAATGAAATTCTAATCTCAAAACAAAGGGAATGTGGCGAAATTGTTAGATGCCACAAACTTAATTATCAATTGAGTCTTAGTATGAAAATCTACTATGTGGTAACTTTCAAATTTAGAGAAATCCCAAAATTAATAAAAATGGACAATTTTGAGCCAAATCCTATTTTCCCCAAAACAAAGCTTACGAAAGAAAAATGTTAGGTGGAGACTTAATGGAAGATATTCTATCAAATAGAGTGGTTGGTATAAGAATATTTTCATCGAAACTTCAGAAAGGATGAAGGTTCAATAACAGTATGTTTGCGCTTAATTTCCACGCAATTTTAACCCAAAAAAAAATAATTTAGCACTTTTGGTCCTGATCCAACATGGAAATATGTGGTAACTTTCAAATTTAGAGAAATCCCAAAATTAATAAAAATGGACAATTTTGAGCCAAATCCTATTTTCCCCAAAACAAAGCTTACGAAAGAAAAATGTTAGGTGGAGACTTAATGGAAGATATTCTAACAAATAGAGTGGTTGGTATAAGAATCTTTTCATCGAAACTTTAGAAAGGATGAAGGTTCAATAACAGTATGTTTGCGCTTAACTTCCACGCAATTTTAACCCAAAAAAAAATATTTTTAGCACTTTTGGTCCTGATCCAACATGGAACCTAGCGTAGGAAAGCTAAATTTAGATTTTTGGCCTCATGAATAAATAAATATACATTTTGAAAATTAAAATTTTTATCTTGGTTTAAAACTCATAATCAAAGTCTAAGTTAAAAAAACCATGACATACTGTCTCAGCAATTTAATAATTTCTGTTTTTATGTCTAGAATGTTGGATTGCTCTCTCTCTTCATCGTCTTTATTTTTATTTTCTAGTAGAAAAAAGGCACATAGGTTTAAATGCATATTCGTTAGGCAACAATGTCATGTATATTGCAAGTCTTTTAAATACATACCAAGTAGACAATGTCTACAAAATTCATATAAATTTTGATACTACATTAAAGCATCTTCAATACATCATATGAACTGCTATAGGTAGCATAGAAGTTGAAAGATTTCGTTGCATTAATATCCAATAAATAGATACCCCGAGTTCCAATGAATTTTATGAATTTCTGTATAGGTGTCATTTATTATTTTAAAATAAAAGCAAAATCATATTTAAATTTGCATATGAATTTTTTGTGAATAAAATATTCAATCCGTCTCATAAAGATATGATTTCTTTCTTTTCTCGCATGTCCCAAAGTATATGACATTTTCCTTGTTGATTGTATAATTATTTTTAAGTTTTTAAATATGCCCTTATTTAACGTGCTTTATTATCATATAAATATGAACTATTAGTATTTAAACAATTATTAATGTAGGGGTATTCTAGGAAAATTTTAAGTAAAGTTTATCGTTCCAACTATATTAAAATTATATTTTTCTTAATATGTGTGAAAACAAAAGCAAGTCTATCTTTGCGGACGAAGAAAGTATAATGTCGAGTCAAAATGTATAACAATTCTTTTGAAATTAAACACAACTCTAAATAATGTCTATTTTTCCTATCACATCAACTTGCACCATGGGGGAACTTTATTCATACACCGAACTATTTTACTCATGTGATACACTATTTTAAATAATCCATAGTTGCATCGATGAAGATATCATAGTGGCTCTATCAAGCTTAAGCCCTGTTTAAATTCTATTATCTAAAAACTTATTTTCAACTACATGTTTTTTCAATAAAGTCCTCGTTTGAGCCCTCTTTTGTAAAAACTTATTTATCCCCAAATTCAATTTCGATTACACATTCGTTCAATAAAATAAATCTTACACATAAATTCAAAACTTTTCCTTATTTTTAATAACACGTTCTCCAAAAAAAAAATTACTAATACAAAATTATTTTTCAAAAAATGGAGCTCAAACAAAGCTTTTTAAACGTAAATCAAATTTTTTTCCCATTTTTAATCACACATTTGTTAAAAAGAAAAAAATCACTAATTTTCCAAATGTAGAGCTCAAAGTCTCAAACTTGTTTGATGGGATTCAAATTTAATTTTAATTTAAATTAAAGTCAACAATTAATTTTAAACGCATATTACATGAAATCTACAACTTTTCAATAATATATTTTATCAATTTTTATTAACATTTACTAAAATATTGATTTTAAACCCCATCAAATAGAAGCATGGCCTTGTGTACAAGAAAAAAAAAAAGTCTCAAACTTGTTTGATGGGATTCAAATTTAATTTTAATTTAAATTAAAGTCAACAATTAATTTTAAACGCATATTACATTAAATCTACAACTTTTCAATAATATATTTTATCAATTTTTATTAACATTTACTAAAATATTGATTTTAAACCCCATCAAATAGAAGCATGGCCTTGTGTACAAGAAAAAAAATGGAGGAAAAATGGGTTTCAAGCACAAAAGAAGCATTGTTGCCCCTAAAATAGGTGCATGTTCGAAGATGACGGCCTTCTGGATGGGTTTTGCTAATAAGTGTATAGGTTAGTGACTAATTATGCAATTGTTCCTAACTTTTAATGTCAGTGACGAAATACTCCCAATTCGGAAAGATCGATGAACGTATTCCATTTTTTCGTCAAACATCCAAACGTCGATGAGAAATTTGAATCTCAGTACGGTGGTGTTGCCGGTGCTGTTTGCACTTGCTCTCTTGTCGTCAATCGATGGTGCCCTCAAAGGATCAGGTCTACAATGGCAGACTCTTACTAAATCAAACTACTCCTCCCAGATTCGTCTCCATCCTCGCCTTCTTCTCCTTGTTACTGTTCCATGTAATTTCTTCCTTTCCCCTCTCTCTATTACTTCAATTACATGTTCAATGAATTTGTAATCTTAATATTTCTAAGGTCCTAAGATGTTTGGGTTGACACTGACACTGAGACGAAAAGCTAGGGAGTGTATAGGATTAGATACCCCGCTGGTCCTATCTGAAAAAATATTACTTTAGTTGACATGTTGAATGAATATGCAATCTTAATGTTCGGAGGTTCTAAGATGCTTGCAGCTGTAATTGGATATACTACGCATTGTTTTAAATCCTCTGTACTTCTATTACTTAATTAGCATGTTGAATGAATTTGTTCTCTTAACATTCTAAGAGCATCTTATGCATAATTTTTAAATTTATGCACTCCAACAGTGCTATATATTTTGGCTATTCATTTTGCTTTCTTTAACTTGAATAATTCAAGAAGTACAATAGCTTACTGAATGCAATCATTATTAGTAAGAATAAAGAGTGACCTTGGCTCTCTATATTTGGAGAGCAAACTCTTGGAGCTTGTTTCAAGCATAAACTCTCTGAACTAGAGAGTATCTTGAAAATGTTCTAAGATGCTGGCTGTGATACTAAAAAATGAAAGCTAGGGGAGCAAATCGGCCGATAGTCCTTCCCTTTTAGTCGTAGACTACAGATAAGATGTGTGCTTAACTCTCTCCCCTTTCCTTTATTATTTTAATTGACACGTTGAATGAATTTGTATTTTTAATGCTCTCAAGGTTCTAAGATGATGGTCCAACATTGATAGTGAGAGAAGAAAGATAGAGGAACAAAATGAATTAGATACCTAGCAGTCCTAGCTGTAAAAATAGATATTAGGCGCTGAGTGTACCTCCTTCCCTCTCTCTATTCTTTAATTAACATGTTGAATAATTTTTAATCTTAACGTCTCGAGGTTCTAAGATGTACAATGTTACTGGAAGACGAAAACTAAAGGAACGAATGAAACTAGATATTCCAGTAGTCCTAGCCGTAAATGATAGATACTAGGCCGCCGGATGACAAAACACACCCCAGGTTTTCATAGTTCAACACATTAAAATAAAATTCAAATGTTCCATGAGCATAAACTGCTTACCCTGGCTGTAATTGCAAGTGAAAATGTTTATGCTAAGCTATAGTCTCAAGGAGTGGAAGAAGAAAAAATGAAGCTAAAGGAAAAAGTTATTAAAAGAGCGAAGTATCAATGATTCAGAATTAAACAGGAAAGCAATAGTAATTTAGCTGAAATTACCTTAATATTAGAGTTAAAAATGAAAAAAAGAAAAAAAAGAAAAAAAGAAAACCAACTATAACACAAGTCATCGCTAATTTTTAAGTGCTTTTTTGCTGATTGAGGTGTGATGCAAATACTTCATATATATATATATATTGTTTATTTGTTTATTTTTGTGTACGATGTGTTTGGATATGATCATTTTACAGGGTCAGGTGAATCACGGACCCTTATGAAGGAATTAGCCCACGCAGTTGCAAGCAATCAAGACATGTTTGCCAACTTGAAGCTTATGGTCTTGCATAGAAATACTGAGAGGATGCTTGCAGATGCCCTTGGTGCTACTGACCGAATAACGATTCTTTACTACCACAATTCCTTCTCTTACAAGTATTCAGGGAAACTCCGAGTTCAAAACATATTATCGTCTGTTGATTATGTAATGTCGCTTCCGCCTGATGAGCTACCACTCAAATCCTTAACAACGCCAGAGGAGTTGGGAGATTTCCTTGATTCAACAGACAAGGCTGTATTTCTCCTGGAATTTTGTGGATGGACTCCAAGATTACTGACCAAGGGCAAGAATTCAACTCAAAATGGATTTGGTATTTTTTCTTGTTTCTTCTTATATGCTTATTTCTTTGCACAAAACATATAATAAGCAAGAAGGGCGAATTATTCAGTATTTTACACCTCTCATGACATTAAGCAAACATGAAGACGTTAAATTTGTGCATTGTTTTATGTTAGTAATGTTGCTAGAATTAATTAGTTTATGATTTTATGAATAGAATTAATCACACACACATATATATTTTTGTAATTGCTGGAAATGTTCAATATCTACTGTCTATGGGTCTTATTATTAGTTGTTATCACGTTCTTTACTTGTCTATGAAGAGTTCTATTGGGTCTCGAATGATCTATGTTTAAATATTTTAAATTTATGAATTTCTCATTTAGAGTTGTAGTCCTTGATCTAGTAGGAGAATTCTTTTTGTGTCTATAATACCTGTGTCATTTCTTTATTTCAATGGAGCTGGGCTTTATGAGAATTTAGCACTGCATTGTGTGTGAATTTACCAAATTCTTTTGTGAGCTCTTCTATCCTCCTACTGTGTTTTCCTCTTTTCATATTGCTACTATTCTTATTTACATCGTTTCAGCACTCGACGTGTTTCTTTTTATCATACATATAATACATCTTGAAGCATATGAAATTATTACTCTTAGAGCTCATTCTTTCATAACATATTCTATCAAACGAACCTCCATTCCCTAGAACGCTACTTTCCGCAAGGTGTCTAACACTTGCTAAAAGCTCATCCATTCTACAAAAATCGTCTTCTCTATTGCTAGACTCATAGGGTCTGGAATCCACATCAAAATCCTCCACAGAAACCATCAGACAATGTTATGTGGGTGTTTTCCAGAGCTTCCCTAAATCAATATGATTATCAGAGCTTGGAGCTTCTAACTTCTATTTAATCTTTGTTCTGATCGTGTGAGCATATTGGAAAACAGTACATATTTTGCAGGGAGGATTGAGGCAACGGTCTTCTTTAATTGGTGTAATTTGTTGAAGTCAAAGAATTAGGATTGCAAGTTGAAATTTGTTGGAAGAGTACAATTATGTTGGTGCCAGTATCATCAATTACACAATTATATTGTCTAATACAATATTAAATACAAATATTTTTTGCAAGAATCTGAACTTTCAGGAAGTACTCTAGGTTGCAGCTTTTGGGTGTTTGTTTGATTTCTGTTTCTCTTCTAGCTATTCAATGAATTATTTTTTGCGGTACTGCACCCACTTCAGAAATGGAAAAGGCAACTGTTTTCATAAAATTGTCTTCTGAAATGAGTTTGTGTGGTCATGTTGATGTTGTACCTCTTTCTAAATAGAATGTGAATTAATTATCATTTTCTGTTGATGAAATCTAAGTGCTTCTTTTGTTGAAATGGAAGTCTCCACACTCCACTTGACTGATCATCTGTGACAACGTGGGACAATCTCTTAAATAGAATTTAAGATTGTCTAGCAATAAGAACAAACCGCTGAATGAATATAGAAGAAAAATGACAGAAAACTTAAACACCAATGATATATGTTGTAAATCGGAATTTCATTTTCACAATATTCAAATTACAATGGATGTGCATATACAACTATAGAAACCTGTTCTAGGAACTGCCAAACTTGTCTAACCACCACTCTAGGAGAGTTTACAGCCTACATATTATCTCTATATATTTACTGCAATTATATTAGTAAGAAATCATCATAATTGGAAAGGGACAACTTCCAACACTCTCCCTTAGTAAATGTGTTTCAGTCTCATTTTGCTTTGAATGGACCGTGAAGTAGGACTTGGTAAATCTTTGGTGAGAAATTTGCCTTTAAAGCAACATAAGGGATATAAATATCTTTTCTACTCAATTACTGCTTGAGGAAGGCTCCATCTATTTCCACTTGTTTAGTTTAGTCATGATAGAAAATTTACTTCAGGTGGAAGATTTCTTTCGTGAGTATTCTATAAGAACTGACTTAAGAGATGTGCAATAAAGTCTTGTTTGGTGTTGGCAATGATTATTGATAAACGAGACACCCAACACCCTAGAAAGAAGATTTCCGAAAATTTAAAATGAAGGGAAGATGTTATAAATATCCCGGCGGAGTTTTGAAGTCTAGAACTCCGAACGATAACGTGTTCATTAAATGAGTGGCTGCCAAAGTGGCTTCCCCCAAAATGTTTTCTGCACTCTCATTTGGAAAAGTAGAGCTATAGTTACGTTAAGCAAATGTATGATTCATCTCAGCTGTCCCATTTGTTTAGGGAGTATCCATACATATAACCCTTTCTTTATTGGACAAAAAAATAATAATAATAATAAATAAAAATTAGTTCATTATTTAAATATTGCTTCACATTATATAAATGAAGATTGTGAACTTGCATTTCAAACTAATTGTAGGAAAGAAGGGGAAAAGTTTATTAACGTCCTATTTTTTTGTCTCCCTTGTAAAATTATCTATAAATTAACCGCCATTTAGCATTGAGATATTATGAATTATAGATTTTCTCACGTCACTTGGAATGAGATTAGAAGAACCATAGCTCTTTCATTTATCGATTGAAAAATAGTTTGATGGTGCTTATCCATTTCACAAACTTCATTATGAAAAGATATTTTATTGAAATTAAATGGAGGAAACACTTTTGGCACAACATATAACGATGGATGACCTAGCCTTTTGTGCCGAAGGAAGATATCCAATTCTCTTGATGAGCAAGCCAAGCTCATGAAATTGTCATTTCCATCACTGATTTCATGATATCAGAGCACACCCCAATCATCTTCATCATTACTCGGTCCTATACAATAGTGAGAGGGAAATAAGACCAACAAGCAATATGGATCCTTGGTAGGCTTTGTGATTGAAACCAAATTACATCTCAATTTAGTAATATTTTATACAAATTTGAATGACAGTTTTGCCCAAGGGACTCAGTCCATCAAGGGACCATCACCATAAAAAATGCAAATTTCTGAAAATTTCTTTACTCCCTATGTAGTAATCATTGAAAAGATTTCATTACATTTATGGATTTCTAGGTTCCAAATTCTACTATGGCAATAGGCCGGGAAATTTAATGATTAAGAAAACCCTACTCCATTAAGGACTTGTCAAAAACTTATTATTTCACACCTGATCCTAGCTGAACAAGGACTTTAACCTGCTGAAAAAACACAGTATCTGGACAGGATATCTGACAGTAACCAAAAACAAAAATAGGAGGTCAGATATCTATGTGGAGCCCATCTTATATCTCAAAGTAATCCCAAACTTCTCATGCTTTTCTTTCTTGAGTCTTCTGTTGCCTGCATCATATGACGAACTCAGCATATTTATATTACTAGTTTTCAACTTAGATGATGCTGAAAAGATATTCATCCTGCAGAACGGTATTTGGGATTGGACTTCCCTGGAGAGGACAATGGAACTCTTGCAGCCAGGGAGAAGAAGTGGAAGGTGGATGATAGATTCTTTTTTCTTATCACCATGGTACTTACTTTTGTAGTGTATAAATAATAATCAGTATTTGTATTTGTGTTTTTATTTTTGCCAGCAGGAGATGGGAGACAACAAACTAAAATCAGGTATTGACAATGGATTTAGTCATATTGATTGGCCGAGTGAGTTTACCTCTGTAAATGAAAGTGGGGAGGCAGAAAATGCTTCACTTAGTGCTGGAGACTCTAGCACTTCATTGGAGTTCCAGCATTTTGAATCTTTCTTACACAAGTTTATGAAAGTTGCTCGAGAGTTTTTCCTTCCTCCGGAGAGGATAAGATTTGCCTTGATTCATGAGAGATCACTTCTGCCGTTGCTAAATATAGAAGATTCTGGTTCATGGTTGATGACAGTTCACTTTGCTGGATGTCTCAGTTGTTTAAAGGTTATCAGAGACAGTGATGAACTGAGAACTGTTCTACAAACCCAAGTTTCACCTGTTGTAGAGGTAAGTTGTACTGTTATATTCTTTAGACGCATGCGGACCTTATTTTTGAGATTTCTTAAACTCCAGCATTTTAGTGGACATCTTGTGAAGTGAAATAGAGCATGATTTTCTCATGAAGTGCATATTTTATTTTTATATTTTGAGGGAAACACAACTGTTCATGACTTTTTAGGGAGACCATGCAAAGGGATGTGATAGCCTGTTTCAGGCATTTTATGGCTCAGTAAATATGTTTTCTGCATTATGCAGCTCGAAGATGATCTTTTTGAAGCTGAGCCAGCTTTACCTGCAAAAAGGCCAACAATATTTCTTTTCATCGATAGATCATCTGATTCAATGGAAGTAAGAAGGCAGAGCAAGCAAGCTCTCAAAACTTTTAGAGAGTTAGCACAAAGCTATAAGATGTTGAATTGGACTAATGAAGAACCCACTATCAAGCAAGATAAGACCATAAGGGAAACTTATCAATCGTCACCGGGTACAGCCAAACACCCTAGACTCCAGCTTTTTCCAGCATCTCAAAAATTAAAGGAAAAGATGTCTGTAATGATTATGAATGATGGGCAACAATTTACACTAGAAAAATTTGTTTCAGACCTTCAAGGTAGTTCTTTGAATGAGATCTTGACATATGCACTTCAGCAAAAGAAAGAATTAAAATTAAGTTCACTTGCAAAAGATGCAGGATTTCAACTTTTATCTGAAGATTTTGATTTGAATGTTTTGGAATCTTTACCAGCACAGGGTGACGTGCAGTCTGATCAAGTTTTTGGAGACCCTGTTAAAGGTCGTATTGAGGGCCCTATTGATATAGATAAGAATCAGATGTCATCTGGAAGTTCCAGTGAGGAGCACGAGGAGCTATCCAGTCCTACTGACACGAAATATATTATGCTGGAAGATAAGGAAAAATCTTTGGACAAAAGCACACAATCATCCATTGAATTCGAATCTAGTCATCATCATATGAATATTGCAACTGATAGTGCTCAAGATTTGAATGTTGAGGAGAAAAGACTCTATGGGCTAGGTGTAAAAAAACAACAGAAAAGTTTTGGGGGCTCTTTTTTCTTTCTGGATGGTAATTATGGATTTCTTGAAAGTTTAACTGCTGGATCCAAGATTCCGTCAGTTGTGATTCTTGATCCCAGTTTGCAGCAACATTATGTCTTGTCTGAGCAGTCAGTTTTCAGCTATTCTTTACTTTCTGATTTTGTTAATGGATTCCTTAGTGGAAGTCTTCCTCCGTATCAACAATCGGCTCCTGGAGTTCCAAGCCAAAGGGAGGCTACAACTCCACCATTTGTTAATCTGGATTTTCACGAGGCAGATTCTATTCCTCAAGTCACAACTCAAACTTTTGCTGAGCTGGTTGTTGGTAATAAATCTGATCCCAAGAATGTTGGGCATTCTTGTGATAGGAACGTGTTGGTTCTTTTTAGCTATAGTTGGTGTGGTTTTTGCCAGAGGATGGAAATGGTTGTTCGTGAAGTTTACCGAGCAATTAAGGGCTATGCAGATATAAAGAGGAAGGAATTAAGGAAGGAGAAATTAATGCTGACTGGTGGTAAGAAGTGCATTGCCTTACATCTATGCTATGAGAATTCTTTTTCTTTGCTGATAGACCCTATAAAAATTTTGTTTTATATTTTTATTTGTTTACTATGAATTCTTTTTAAGAAACTCATTTATCAAATAATGCCTATCGTGATGATAAGATGATAGTATGGACTGATTATAAATTGATGCATTGTCGACTGATTGGTGATTTAGATATTTGCAGAGTATGCGGATGCTGTGTCGAAGCTCCCACTTATATATTTGATGGATTGTATGCAAAATGATTGCAGCTTGATCCGGAAACCTACATTGCAGGTGCGAGTTATGGTAACACATGACAAACTTCTTTTGTGTAACTAGTAGGTTTCGCCGACCTTTGTTAAATATCAATGGACTAAGAATTTAAATCCTCAATGGCTTATTTATTGGCTTTGAGCCTTTGAATATGTCCCCGGTACAATTTTACTTGCATACATCTTCCTTTTTTGGTTGATATGAACTAATGACATATCTTTAAAAGTGCTATGACTTGATCTAAGTCAAGACACGTTCCTGAGTTTTTAAAAATTACAGATTTCTTGAAGCTTCAAGTACCCCTAGAACAAGAACAACTTCCATAAACAGACATGCATGTTTGGCTAAGCTTAAAAATAACTTGTAATTAAACAAAAATAATTTCTTTAAATAGTCAAAGTTGAAGGTAAGTTACTTATTTTCATTCAAAATAAGTAACTTTTTTCTACTTGAAAGTAAGAAATAAGTAACTTATCCAAACGTGTTTCGGAACAAGAAACTACCAAAATAGTAACTTTTACATACTTTTAAGCTTAACCAAACCATGCTTGAAAGCTAAATCTAACATGGTATCTACTAATGGATTTTTTGGAATATTAAATATCTATGGAGGAATAGATAATCAAGAAATTTTCTCATTGTACCTTCTTTGACTTGTCCATGTTATCGTTTTCTGTGAAAAAGAAAAGAGTTGACCATCTTGTTGCTCATTTCGATATTTTAAGGCTTAAAGAAACAACAATGATGACACCGAACATCTATAACAATTTTCAAATTCATTAACTATTATGAGATTTGAATATCTAAATTATGTTTCCCTAATGAGAGATGAAAATACTAATTGAGATGGAACTAATCAGCATTGATTTTTTTCAATAAAAAAAATCCTTTCGAACTATCTGCAGGTGTTTCAGCTTCCTTCAGATCATAATGGGAAGAATTGCTTGATGAACTATATGTAATTACATAGCATAATTGGTAATTTTTAACATAAACAACAAGGCTGTACTGTACTAATTGCATCCATTTCTCTTTTTCCAAGACAATGGAATGCAAACTTTTAAATGCTTGTATGATTGTTATTCATGTCAACAAGTAACCGAAGCAGTAGCAGTTTTTGTGAATTAATATCAGCTCTCCTCCCCAGACAATTAAAAATTTCAATTTAATTGATTATGAAAAATGCAGTGATTCCTCTTTTATCATATATGCAAATCTTTGGAAATTTATTTCAAGTTTCGCCCCTTTCTCAATCCTAAGGATTATGGGCATTTCAGTTTAGCTGTGCTTGACAAACTTTAGGAGAGTTCCCAATTACTTTTGCCAGATATGATAATTATGTGAGGTTTCATTACCGGGTCTGTTTATCAAATGTGATCTTATGCAGAGGGAACTTTATCCGCGTCTGGTTTTATTTCCACCAGAAAGGGAAAAGGCCGTGCCTTATGATGGAGATATTACTGTAGCTGACGTCATCAAATTTTTAGTTGCTCATGGGAGTCATTTACTTGATCTTGTCAAGGATAAAGGCAAGTATCCTAGGTTGATTATATTTACTATTTTGTGTGCGTAGAAGAATTGCATGGATGAAATCTCCTTTTATTTTGACTGCTCAAACTCCTTTGGCAAATTCAGGATCAATTTTAGCATAAAGAGGCCCTGACCTGTTTTATCCCATTTCAATTTTTGAATCCTCCCCCTTGCATGTTTGAGATTTTCACCTATCTGCATCATTTACTGTTAGTGGCTTTGACCACAATATGTTGCTCTAGTTTTCATTGTTCAGGAACCTTGACTTCATTGATTCTTGACCAGTATTGAATTCTATATCTTGCATTATTTATTCAAGAGTATTGTCTCACTTATACTTAATTTACATTGGGGAAAATTTTGTCTGTGGTCATGAACTTATAACGAAATCTCAATTTGGTCACTAAACTTTAATTTGTCTCAATTGGGCCATTGAACTTCAATTTAGTTTCAAATGGAGTCGCTGAACTTTAAATTAATTTCAAATGTCACCACTCGTCAGTTGCCGTCTCAAAATATTCATCCTCTCTGCTGAATAGCCAAGTTTTCTTAACAATTTGAGCTTTGAGTTTACTAATTCTTTCATATCTTCTACATTCATTTCCTCCTCTCTCTTTAGGTGGGCTTCATTAATTTTTTAGGTATAATGAGGAAAGAAAATCATTCAACTGCTTTTTGTCTAAAGCCACAATGATATTATTGCAGACCTAAGACTGTGGATTTGTCAATTGTATTTTCCCAATTGCCGTAAATTTTGAATTTTGGCAGGGAAAGTTAGGGGATAGGTTTTGGTTACTTGGGATGCTTATTCTCACTTGATCGCTTGTATTTTGCTTTTCCTTGGTCAGATATTGTACAGGGGCAGAATTTAGACAAAGTTGGTCCTCAGACCACAAACTTGCAGCACGAAATTCTGCTGGGTGAAAGGTTGCCGAAAGTGGGAGCTAAGGACAAGAAGATTGGAGCACGTTTCCCTGTTAACTCGAATGAAAGGCTTCAAGTGGTTGCTGGTTGCATTCTAACTGCAAGTGAAAAGCTTTTGGATGTCCATCCTTTTGATGAGTCTAAAATTCTTATCGTGAAGGTGGATCAAGGATTTCAAGGTCTGATTATCAATAAACATATAAGTTGGGATAGCATTGAAGAAGGTTCAGAATTTTTAAAAGAGGCACCCCTGTCTTTTGGTGGTCCTTTGGTGAGGCAAGGAATGCCACTTGTTACTTTATCTCGCAAGTTTTCGAAAGATGAGAGTGTTGAAGTGTTACCTGGCATTTATTTCCATGATCAGTGGGCCACAGTTCACCTAATAAACGAAATTAGAGCAGGAAACCAAACTGTTCATGACTACTGGTTCTTTTTAGGATACTCGAGTTGGGGTTGGGACCAACTATTTCATGAGATTGCACAAGGAGCTTGGAATGTAAGCAAAGGCAATTTGGAAGAACTAGAGTGGCAGTGGAGGTGATGCACTAGAAGAATCACTACAAGAAACAATGCCGGCCTTAAAGGCACGATGTTCTTTTGATCATATTATAGGCCATTTTTTTAAAAAAATTTTAAACTGATATTACTGTGTTACGTGGCATTTATTTGACACCTTTTCATGCAATGTTTTGCTACAGAGAATGATTTATTTGTGACATATGTTTACAGGTAGAAGAATCAGTAGTGTCCTGCAAACGTGACACCACTTTTCTCTCAGGCTGTCTCCCAGCTTATCCTAAACCCTCTTTAACTCTCACACAAATCATAGCACTACTTACCTCCCCAAATTCCTGTCCTCTTCCCCTCTTCTTGAGAACTCGACTCTTCCCTTCCTCTGACTCCCCTTCGTTGTCCCCTTGGCCAGCAAAATAATGGAGCTCAACACCTCATAACTCCACTTCTCTCCAACCCTCTCCCCAGCATTAATAGGTTATATAGGGCAGCGTGTTGCCGTTCAGGCAGGGTAGGAAAAGAGAATTGTACAAATAACATTACTTGTTCACGCAACATGGGAGGAGCTAACGACTCCATATCTCCCAACTCCCCTCCAACACCCGCTTCCCTTCACATTCGGTCATCCCACAACCTGCTATTTTCCATGACCCATTTCAATCCCTTCAACCACGTGAAACAGGAGCATTGTTGGACTAGGAATGGTCGCGTTCACGACCACCCATGCCCCCTCTCCCCTCATGTTCATTGGCTGTCGTACAACCTATCTTTTTCCCTGAAATTCCCCTATTTTTCTCTTTAAGGGGATCGGTGGATTTTACCCAGGTCACCAGCCTGGTAAGGCTTCACCCTTGTTCTTTCTCCCTCGAAACAGGTGTAGGTGCTATCAGCCAAGAATCGAACCATCAGCATCACACACTCAAAAGCCCTTGTGACCAATATTTCCACACTCCTGAAAAACGCCGGTAGCTGTTCGTATTGAAAAATAATATTGAAATCGGTCTTCAGTTCATCAATATAAACCCCATTGTAATCAATTGTTCATTGAGAGACCAAGAACCCCATAGTAAACTCTCTCTGTCTCACGGGCTGCGAATGTGGAAAGCAAGGATGTTCACTTGATGCCTTCTTTTCTGTTCTGAATTGTGTTCAGTCTTCCATCACTCAGAAATTTCCGATTGATTGGAATCCGATGCTTATGTGTTTCAGTCAGTTTCAGTTCCGTGCAAAGTTTGGAGAAATCCATGCTATCCATGAGAGCAGGTAATTATGGGGAAAAAAATTCATCCATCAACCATCAGGATGAGCGGTATGATAACCGGAAAATTCCGCCGGCAACAGCTAGGTTGACGCAGAAAAACTCGGAAGGAAAATTCAGAATTAATTAACTGCTCATTAGGTTCATCGCCTATCACTGTGATCATGATATGTGTAATTTACCTGTTAAACAATTAATGCAACTTAAAAAGATTCTGTAACTCAATCACTCTATACAAGGTGTCAAAGTCAATGAAAGATTCAAAACAAAGCGAACTATGTGGTGATGGTTGGAAATGATTTGTTACTTTTGTAAATTGGAGTGATTTATATAGTGGAAGTTTAGCGGTTGGATTTGGGACCCAAATGATAACAAGTCTTTGAAAGGTTAGAGCTATCTCCCATTGGATTCAGTCCTAAGGCCACGAGTGCGGTCAGCTCCTTGTATTATATTATTTTTTGGACAAAATTTATTTAAATTTTTAGTCAAATTGTAATTAATCAAATTCTTGGCCATTTAATGAAATTAATTTTTGATTGACTTATATCTAGGTATTTTTTTTGTCAAAGTTGTCTATTAACAAACTTAACAGACATGGTGTTTCATTTCGAACTGTTCGAATTTACAGGATTGTCTGAACAGTGACGACTATTTTGAAAAGACTTGAAAGATATTCGAATGACCGAGAATGATCTATAAATAGCTTACCCTAGTACCAGAAAAATAACGCTATTTTTATTGTAAACTTTCTTTCCTTTGAATCTCATTCTTACTTGTTCTGATACTTTTTTCAAAGTGAAAAACACTTTACCGAATTTGTTTGAGCTCCGGTAAATTGCTGTACTGCTTTCGTATGAAACAATTTATTTTATCCTAGGAAACATTGTAAAGTAGGTGGACTCAAATTAATATTCTAATTTTGTTGATCATTTCGTTAATCTGTTCAAATTACATTACGATCATTCTGTCAGTGTAGCATATTCAGATTTTTCAAAGGAGAAATTTATACTTCGAAAAAAGTAGTGACTTGATCTCTTTTATTTGTTCTTAGGCTCTTCGCCAAATTAACTTAAAAAACAAAAATTGGGACTTAACGCAAAAAATGTTAAGCTATCATCGAAGAGATTTATGAGCACTATCTCAAAATCCAGCCATCTAATTCTCTACAATATGCATCCACAAAGATTGCATCAATATTTGCATTGTAGATGCTCGACATTCCTTTGAATTCCACATAAGTTGCAATCAGATGCAATACATTTCTTATGTAACTATAGGAACTACATTGGAACTGAATCAGATTTTTTCCGTATCTACTTGTAATAGATGAGTGAGGAATTCAAGCATAAAATGTTATGCTTTTGCGTTCTTGAGTTCTAATAGTCTGTACCATCTCCTATCCATTGAGCCAGCATTCCGTGCACCCAAATCTGAAACCAAAATTTCGTTAAACGTCTGTCGATTTTCACAACTAATCTGTCATTTATAATATTATGGTTCCTTACGCAGCAATTTAGGTTCGGACTTGTCACACGAATCCGAGCAAGTTTCCTGGAAGAAAATGAGCAAAACACACACATGAATAAGATTCAATTTCATTGTATGGAAATAATGATAATGGCTACTTGTGTTGCTCTACTTTGACTGAGATTGCCAGCCTGATGGTATCCTGTACTAGTGAATCAAGATCAGCCTCACATCCAGGTTTCACATAGATAACCTGCAAAAAAAAGGCCTCTTGCTGTTAGATCTTTTTCTGCCTTCTTGTGTTTGAGCATGCATGCATGATATAGATAGTGTAAACCCTGTTCAGGCACTGAACTTGTATGTGTGCCTTTTCAGTTTTTCTGGTCATTGAAATTAATTTTGTTACGAATTTCTTACGCAGTTATTCACTATGTTCAACTCCATCTTTGAGAGTTAACAAAAGTAGCTCCCGGCGGACAGATTTCTTACATGGAGGAATTTCAGAATTTAAGTCCCATTTACTTGCCAACATGGAGAAAATGCTACTCTTGAAATCGAACCTGTTTTTACAAAATACAACCAAACTTGGCTTTTGCTTTCTATTCGATCCAAGGCCTTAAGAGTTTGGTTTTGCAATTTCTCCATGCTGGCTTATCGGTTGGATTTAATAGCTTAATAAAAGACACAAGATATTCGTCCACCCACCCACTACTTGCTAATTCTTTTAGTTTGTATTGACTAATCTGACTACACTCGCTTAGGAGGTAAGATATTGGAAGTTCAGTGACCAACAAACAGCAGGCGTATTCAGTGTTTAAATATGTATTTAATCCATAGGTAGGTAGGTAGATATGTAGATAAATCGATAGAGTGAGAGAGAGAAATGTATAGGAGCATGACACTTACTGAAGGATCATCGACGCCAATCTCAGGAAGTTGTTGATCAGACGAGTCTTTCTGTCTACTTGATCTTGATGGAAGAACCCAAGCTTTAAATGTTGAATCTATCTGATATAATGGCCAAGAGGTTAATGAGTTGGTTAATTTGTTACTACACATATACCGAATACCATCAAACTCCAACAAGCTGAAACGAGCAATCCAATTTCAAGATTAATGTTCTTTAACGAGCTACCATAATGTAAGGGCATTTTAAACGATGACCAACATATAAGTACTTTAACTACTCATCTTAACGAGGTTAACCTTTTAAAATGGAAAGTCGAGACCCAATATTTTGATAAAAAATAGAGTACCTGTCGGAGAAAGGGAGAGCAACAGTTGCAACATTTTGTGGTGAAGCATGTCATGATCCTCCCTTCAACTGAGAGCCCAAATCCTGTGTGCTACAACAACAATCCTACTAAAGTTAAGAACACATTACTCATGAATAGTTTAAGCAACATTTTAAAATAAAACCTGTTGTCAGCAAACTAAATTAGACAATAATGGAAAAGAAAACGAAGCTAGAATCTTGTTGATATAGTGTCACATTCATTTGAGTCAAATGGATGATAACTTGACAATCTATGCTAGCTTATAACATCAACACAACAATTAAAAAAAAAAAAAATCCACAAAACCTCATATTCAAAGAAATTTAAGGCAAAGAAGAACCTTTTGAATGCAAAGAGTGATGGAAACAGGAGTGCTTCTGTGGGAATTATGATTGTATTCTTCCATTAGTAATAAATCTTGGAGCTGAAGCTGTTTCCAAGATAGATTATAGTGAGAGTTCCATTGACCATCCCATCTCCCTTCCGATGCTGATATTCTTATCAAACTCTGCTGTGTTTTTGAACTCTTTTTGCCTGTCTTCTAAATACATGCATTCACAACCAACAAACTAAACAGTTAATTACCAATCAAGAACATATACATGTCTAGCTTGCACGGAAAACACAATGCGATACGTAGAAATGTCATTTTTGACCCAAAAAAAGGACACGGCATTGATTTTTGAAGTTTCTGTGCAATATGTAAATGGAGGATAATTTACCATTAATGGAAGTTCATTTTTCTTTGCATAATCTCTAGTTTTGGCCTCAAATGAAAGGACGTGAACATTTCTGTTGATGTTTCTGGGTGAAATCCAATATCCAGCTCCAGCCATCTTTTCTCTGTCACACACACACAGGGGAGAGAGAGAACCTTATCCTCGCCTTGTTTACATGAAACCTCAACCATGGAATAAGATATGCAGATTTTTCCAATGGTTAATAAACTGTTAGTAACCCAAATCTTATAGCATTCTTCCATTTTCGTCATCCAACATCTTTTGGGTTCCAAATTAGTAGCTTACTTTCGATTTGTTTCAATTTAGTGGCAATGGTGACTGAAGCGAAATCTTGCTTAAAGTTTAGTGACCAATAAAATCTTGTTTACAAGCATTTTAATATTTTAAAGCATCTCAAGTCTTTAGTAAGACAGAGGTGCTGTATGTACAGATACAAACAGTTCGCAAACCACACATAACTCATTTTTTGGCACTATTTTATTTTACATGGGACCCACTCCATGTGAGACTTCTGTCAAAAAAATTTCTGTACAACTAAAATTATTGTTAGTAATATGTTGGCACCAATAAGTCGTAGTAATTAATTTAATGGTCTAAAGACATAGATTTTTCTATTTTCCCCATACAGTTGAAATTTATTATTTATTTAATTATTAATATGTGTGACTTGAAATAAATTTCTACTATCATTTGATTTAGAAAGGGTACGTCTAGCTTGATTCGGCCAATCATATTAATATTGTGTTTTATTAATTTTAAAGGAAGTATTGTATTTTAAGAGAAATATATCCATTCGATCATATTAATATCAGTATACCGACGAAATTCATTTGAAGGGGATTTGCAATCTCTTACATAGATTCATTTTATTTCCTTATTCTTTTCCTACATTTTTAGCAAGTCATAATTCTTTACTTTTCACATAGTTGTATTCATATTTTAGTGTCATAATATAAAAATATTTATACCAAATTTACCAACATATATATTTACCCAATATCATATTGAACTAAGAATACAATGGTAAATTTCAAACTTTTGTATTTGGACAGAGTAATATGGAATTGAAGTCTATACATTTACACTTAGCGTCTGTTCAAAGTAGATAGCAGTGAAACTCGACCATACCACTTAAGTACCGAAAACGTCATATTTTCGAACTTATATGATTAAAAGAATTGATTGATAACATTCAATCTAGAATGTAAACAAGGCGAGGATAAGGTTCTCTCTCTCCCCTGTGTGTGTGTGACAGAGAAAAGATGGCTGGAGCTGGATATTGGATTTCACCCAGAAACATCAACAGAAATGTTCACGTCCTTTCATTTGAGGCCAAAACTAGAGATTATGCAAAGAAAAATGAACTTCCATTAATGGTAACTTATCCTCCATTTACATATTGCACAGAAACTTCAAAAATCAATGCCGTGTCCTTTTTTTGGGTCAAAAATGACATTTCTACGTATCGCATTGTGTTTTCCGTGCAAGCTAGACATGTATATGTTCTTGATTGGTAATTAACTGTTTAGTTTGTTGGTTGTGAATGCATGTATTTAGAAGACAGGCAAAAAGAGTTCAAAAACACAGCAGAGTTTGATAAGAATATCAGCATCGGAAGGGAGATGGGATGGTCAATGGAACTCTCACTATAATCTATCTTGGAAACAGCTTCAGCTCCAAGATTTATTACTAATGGAAGAATACAATCATAATTCCCACAGAAGCACTCCTGTTTCCATCACTCTTTGCATTCAAAAGGTTCTTCTTTGCCTTAAATTTCTTTGAATATGAGGTTTTGTGGATTTTTTTTTTTTTTAATTGTTGTGTTGATGTTATAAGCTAGCATAGATTGTCAAGTTATCATCCATTTGACTCAAATGAATGTGACACTATATCAACAAGATTCTAGCTTCGTTTTCTTTTCCATTATTGTCTAATTTAGTTTGCTGACAACAGGTTTTATTTTAAAATGTTGCTTAAACTATTCATGAGTAATGTGTTCTTAACTTTAGTAGGATTGTTGTTGTAGCACACAGGATTTGGGCTCTCAGTTGAAGGGAGGATCATGACATGCTTCACCACAAAATGTTGCAACTGTTGCTCTCCCTTTCTCCGACAGGTACTCTATTTTTTATCAAAATATTGGGTCTCGACTTTCCATTTTAAAAGGTTAACCTCGTTAAGATGAGTAGTTAAAGTACTTATATGTTGGTCATCGTTTAAAATGCCCTTACATTATGGTAGCTCGTTAAAGAACATTAATCTTGAAATTGGATTGCTCGTTTCAGCTTGTTGGAGTTTGATGGTATTCGGTATATGTGTAGTAACAAATTAACCAACTCATTAACCTCTTGGCCATTATATCAGATAGATTCAACATTTAAAGCTTGGGTTCTTCCATCAAGATCAAGTAGACAGAAAGACTCGTCTGATCAACAACTTCCTGAGATTGGCGTCGATGATCCTTCAGTAAGTGTCATGCTCCTATACATTTCTCTCTCTCACTCCATCGATTTATCTACATATCTACCTACCTACCTATGGATTAAATACATATTTAAACACTGAATACGCCTGCTGTTTGTTGGTCACTGAACTTCCAATATCTTACCTCCTAAGCGAGTGTAGTCAGATTAGTCAATACAAACTAAAAGAATTAGCAAGTAGTGGGTGGGTGGACGAATATCTTGTGTCTTTTATTAAGCTATTAAATCCAACCGATAAGCCAGCATGGAGAAATTGCAAAACCAAACTCTTAAGGCCTTGGATCGAATAGAAAGCAAAAGCCAAGTTTGGTTGTATTTTGTAAAAACAGGTTCGATTTCAAGAGTAGCATTTTCTCCATGTTGGCAAGTAAATGGGACTTAAATTCTGAAATTCCTCCATGTAAGAAATCTGTCCGCCGGGAGCTACTTTTGTTAACTCTCAAAGATGGAGTTGAATATAGTGAATAACTGCGTAAGAAATTCGTAACAAAATTAATTTCAATGACCAGAAAAACTGAAAAGGCACACATACAAGTTCAGTGCCTGAACAGGGTTTACACTATCTATATCATGCATGCATGCTCAAACACAAGAAGGCAGAAAAAGATCTAACAGCAAGAGGCCTTTTTTTTGCAGGTTATCTATGTGAAACCTGGATGTGAGGCTGATCTTGATTCACTAGTACAGGATACCATCAGGCTGGCAATCTCAGTCAAAGTAGAGCAACACAAGTAGCCATTATCATTATTTCCATACAATGAAATTGAATCTTATTCATGTGTGTGTTTTGCTCATTTTCTTCCAGGAAACTTGCTCGGATTCGTGTGACAAGTCCGAACCTAAATTGCTGCGTAAGGAACCATAATATTATAAATGACAGATTAGTTGTGAAAATCGACAGACGTTTAACGAAATTTTGGTTTCAGATTTGGGTGCACGGAATGCTGGCTCAATGGATAGGAGATGGTACAGACTATTAGAACTCAAGAACGCAAAAGCATAACATTTTATGCTTGAATTCCTCACTCATCTATTACAAGTAGATACGGAAAAAATCTGATTCAGTTCCAATGTAGTTCCTATAGTTACATAAGAAATGTATTGCATCTGATTGCAACTTATGTGGAATTCAAAGGAATGTCGAGCATCTACAATGCAAATATTGATGCAATCTTTGTGGATGCATATTGTAGAGAATTAGATGGCTGGATTTTGAGATAGTGCTCATAAATCTCTTCGATGATAGCTTAACATTTTTTGCGTTAAGTCCCAATTTTTGTTTTTTAAGTTAATTTGGCGAAGAGCCTAAGAACAAATAAAAGAGATCAAGTCACTACTTTTTTCGAAGTATAAATTTCTCCTTTGAAAAATCTGAATATGCTACACTGACAGAATGATCGTAATGTAATTTGAACAGATTAACGAAATGATCAACAAAATTAGAATATTAATTTGAGTCCACCTACTTTACAATGTTTCCTAGGATAAAATAAATTGTTTCATACGAAAGCAGTACAGCAATTTACCGGAGCTCAAACAAATTCGGTAAAGTGTTTTTCACTTTGAAAAAAGTATCAGAACAAGTAAGAATGAGATTCAAAGGAAAGAAAGTTTACAATAAAAATAGCGTTATTTTTCTGGTACTAGGGTAAGCTATTTATAGATCATTCTCGGTCATTCGAATATCTTTCAAGTCTTTTCAAAATAGTCGTCACTGTTCAGACAATCCTGTAAATTCGAACAGTTCGAAATGAAACACCATGTCTGTTAAGTTTGTTAATAGACAACTTTGACAAAAAAAATACCTAGATATAAGTCAATCAAAAATTAATTTCATTAAATGGCCAAGAATTTGATTAATTACAATTTGACTAAAAATTTAAATAAATTTTGTCCAAAAAATAATATAATACAAGGAGCTGACCGCACTCGTGGCCTTAGGACTGAATCCAATGGGAGATAGCTCTAACCTTTCAAAGACTTGTTATCATTTGGGTCCCAAATCCAACCGCTAAACTTCCACTATATAAATCACTCCAATTTACAAAAGTAACAAATCATTTCCAACCATCACCACATAGTTCGCTTTGTTTTGAATCTTTCATTGACTTTGACACCTTGTATAGAGTGATTGAGTTACAGAATCTTTTTAAGTTGCATTAATTGTTTAACAGGTAAATTACACATATCATGATCACAGTGATAGGCGATGAACCTAATGAGCAGTTAATTAATTCTGAATTTTCCTTCCGAGTTTTTCTGCGTCAACCTAGCTGTTGCCGGCGGAATTTTCCGGTTATCATACCGCTCATCCTGATGGTTGATGGATGAATTTTTTTCCCCATAATTACCTGCTCTCATGGATAGCATGGATTTCTCCAAACTTTGCACGGAACTGAAACTGACTGAAACACATAAGCATCGGATTCCAATCAATCGGAAATTTCTGAGTGATGGAAGACTGAACACAATTCAGAACAGAAAAGAAGGCATCAAGTGAACATCCTTGCTTTCCACATTCGCAGCCCGTGAGACAGAGAGAGTTTACTATGGGGTTCTTGGTCTCTCAATGAACAATTGATTACAATGGGGTTTATATTGATGAACTGAAGACCGATTTCAATATTATTTTTCAATACGAACAGCTACCGGCGTTTTTCAGGAGTGTGGAAATATTGGTCACAAGGGCTTTTGAGTGTGTGA